TTGTACAATATTTCCAAAATGAGATCAAGATTTATTTCCTCCCAAGTGTAAGCAAACCATTTTCAGCAGTCAACATTGACTGCATTGCCAGGATAGAGAGTTGGATTAAAGTAAGTGTAGCCAGGTTTTGGCTGTCATCATTTCTTGCTCCTTAGTCTACAGGCTGGACTTGAGAAGGAAGGACAGTTCCTATCCTCTTCTCTTTGTGCATGTTGTCCGTGATTAAAGCCTGCTCTCAACTGCAACAGCAGAAAGAACATGAGACATTTCCAGGACTCAAGTATCACAAGTGAAGGGAAGTTCTTCAGAGAGTTCTTGAAACTGTATACTGATACTTTGGTAATTTTTGTTGATATAAAAATACACACACATATATGCATATGTGTACATATATATTTGGAATGTGGCTCAAATCTAAAGCATGACTAGGGCTTTGGGCAGTAGAATACAAGGAGCTATGGGTGGGAAGTGTCACTTTGTTCCATGTTGATGGGAGGGATGTGTCCTCCAAAGGAAGAACTCTGAAGACACTTCCCAAGGAGAAATGCTGATGTTTTCCTGCCTCCTTGGCCTCCCTTGATATCCTTTTTTTTTTTTTTATTCACCCTCTCAGCTCCTAAGAGGGGGCTTTTCTGTCTTGTCACATTCTACTGGCAAACAGTCACAAATAACAAAGAAAAGGTTTCCAGTGTCAGCACTCCACTCCTCTCACATTCTCCCCAACTCACCCCTGCCCCTAAGAATTCACATTTGCTGCGCACGCACCCTTAGGAGCCAAATTCTGACAGTTATTTAGCTGATTTATAGTGATATTAACAAAACAAGGATCTTTCCTTGAAGTACTTTCCATCAAGTATTTACTTGCCTTCTAAATGCAAATTTAAGGTCCATGTTCTGTTTAACAGCAAGGAATTACAACATTTGTCATTGGCATCTCGAAAATAGTTTTTCTGTTCTGTGCTGTTGAGCTTTTCTATATTATTAGCTGAGCTACTTCAGTGGGTACAATTGCAATAACTTTTCTTACTCCAACTGCATACACTGTGTGTGATTAATCTTTTAACTGTAATGTGTAAGGGCATGTGCCAGAGCAGCAAACCCTTGGAAAAAAGATATAGTGGCAACAATGAAAATACCATAGACTAATAGTACCATTATTTGCACCTGTAACACAATTGGTTTTCGTTATCAAGAAAAGCATGTCCAGTTTGCATGTATGAATGAAGCAAGAAAAATCCCATGATGCTTCACCCTTAAACTCTTACTTGACTCAGTTTTTGTGGTTCTTCTAGGCTAATTTAAAGAGAGAGATATTTGTTATGGGTAAACCTCCTCGTAGCCCAGTGATGACTAAGAGATCCTGCAGCTCACCTGTCAGAGGTCACAGCTATTCACACAGGGTATGGTATTGGATGCCCAGTGTGCAATAACAGCATTTCCATAGAAAAGGAGTTCAATGTCTAGTCTTTCAGTATTTTGCTTTTGCCCAAGTGTCTCAATACTATCAGTATGCCGTGTTTTCTTCCTGTTGTGCTTCTGTGCTATGTCTGAGTAAAGCCAACAGGTCTGTGTGTGCCAAAACTTTTTTCATAAATCCATTAGTGTATTGTATCTCTGCAGTACTGCATAGTATTTCCAGTGCTACAAGATTTGAGAGATCAAAGTTCTTCATATTTAGCCTGTTTTTTCCTAAATTACTCCTCTGTTTCAAAGCATTTCTAGTTTATTAAAATCACAGCTTCTAAGAGTCAAGAATTTATCCTTCATTGCATGTATACAGGCTGAATTCTTGTTTTTAGAAGCCATGCCCTTCTTTTCAAAATGTTTGTTGCTGCTATATTATGTTCACTCAGCACTCTCCCTCTTTATCCAAGCACTGTTATTCCAGACTGTCATACTCTTTAGCCTTTCCCTTCATATCTGTAGTATAACAGTAACATAACTGTAACAATTTTACCTAGCAAGAAAGTCAGATTGTGTAGAGTTTACATGTGTTTCACTCAAAAAGGTGATCTAAATTACGAAAAAAACCAACCTAAACTGTATGAGAATGAGAATTTATGGGTTATGTTTTACTTTCAGTTTAGGACTAAATTATTCTTTGCATTGGTTTCTTAACATTTGGCTCTTAAAACTGATAACGGGATGAACTGTTTTCATGGCTGTTGCTGCTGATTTTAGTTTATAGTCTTTCCTGGTGGTTCCCTTTTTAAAATTTGAATTTTAATTTAATATATGCAGGTTTGTGTAACTTCTCAAAGTCTTGGCTTTTTGGCAGGCCTCTGTTTGCTACCAGGTATGAGGGGACAGTGTTTTCTTCATTACTGAAGAGAGACAAATCAATCATAGGAAGGCCAGGATTCTTGTAGTAGCGGATCAACACCATCCCAAAGAACATCCAACTGGGAATAAGATCCATAAAAAAGGGGATTAAGCCTTATTTTAATTTTGCATGTTTCCCCAAATGAATGGCATGTAATCAATGTATCAAGAGGACTGTATTGGTCAGTGTTTAGTGCACTTGTGTATTTAATTCCAAAACTACAAGAGCACATTGTACACCTAATTTGCATGTTCAGGACTATACAGAACTATTATATGCAAGCGCATATCTATCGTGCATGAAAATCAGGTGTACAACTGGGACCATTGACTTGACTCCACACTTTTTAATATTTGGGGGATTAGGCCCTACATTTTTTCCCAGCAAACACGATAGTGTAGTGAACTGAGCCATAGCTGGAAACTAGAAATCCCAAGCACCAAGAGCAACCTACCAAGAGGGTGATGCATTTCATGATATCTCTTGAGCACAATTAGCCAGACCTTGCAACAGTCCCCATTCTAGCCAATGCCACTGTATATGGGAATGAGAGCTTAGGGAAAGAAAACAGGGAGAAAGCTTCTTGATGTCAGCCACGGTACTACTGACAAATGCATTTGCATAGAGAACAAGCTCCGAGGTCCCACAGATTACTTCACCCTGGTTTTCCCAGATTCTAATTCCGTCAAAGTTTTCTCTGTAACAATAACATAGAGTTGAAAATCTTCCACTCACCTTGATTTTCTATCATCTGTTTCTACAGTAGTTAACTAGCAATAAAACATTTTAAAGCATTGAAGCATATGCAGAAAAAGAAGATAATACTGACCTATCTAATTTCTTCCTGGCTTGGTATATGTTCAAAGCATTAAATCATTTGTAATATTGTTTAGGACATTGACTTTTATTGTTTGCAAGAAAAATCCTTAACCTTGGTTGAGTTCTCTTGCATCTCTGACTATCTTTGGCATTCAGCTCAGTTACGGACCTGATGAAAGATTAGCAGAGAGTAAGGTCAGATTCCAATCCAAATACCAAGCAATCTGCCCAGTGGAATATTCTCTTCTTACTTGACAAGGCAACTGTTGAAGGGGGTTTACTGAGAACTGAAGTGTCTGATTTGCAGTCTTTATTATTGGATTGTTCAGTAAAAATTATCCATCTTTCTTGTACATTGGCAGAGGAGAGTTAAATGAGGGAGAGAAGAGAGTCAAAGAGTATAAAAGAAATTTTTTTTACTTTGAAAACCTCTTTCCCACCTAGCTGTCATTAATACTAATAAAATTCCTGTAATCTACCTGCCTGCATCTTTAGTCACCTTTTTAAAATTATACTCGACAGACTGTAAAAATGAAGTGGAGAATGTTCACAATATTTTCTACATGTACACATATAAACATGATGAAAAGAAATCTAACTACTTCAATTTCATCTGGAGATGTTATGGGGAAGGAGGGGGGAACACACAGTGCATTTTTCATTCAATTGATATCATCAGGCTGTAGGTTATTTACCACAGCCTTCTCCCATGGAAGACCGCATCATCTTCAACAGTAAACTGAAGCAATATGAACTGAAATAGTCAAACTTGAGAAAAAAGAGAACCATGGAGCAATAAGACAAATCCTGTGGCTTCAAGATCAGGTTGCAGTTTACTCAATTCATGAAAGAAAGTGCTATGAGCTGCGTTTGATATCCACACTCCCAGAACAGATACGGTTTCCAGACTTGTATCAGACTGTCAGTCTCTACAGCATGACCATAGGGCATCCTCAGTCAACAGAGAACATGATCACTGCTCACATCAAGAGCTCTCCCGAGCAGCTGCTCCTGCACTGTTTCTGGCCCCAGCCAGATTCTAATCGGTTTAAGTCAATGTCTTTCTAATAAAGATATAGTTTCTGTAGGAGGTTAATATTTTTTACTTCCATTGCATCCAGATTTATTGGATTATTAGTGGTGGGTAATGCTCCGTTAAGAAGGAGAGTAGTTGCTTTCATAAAGCTTTGCACTGGAAATACAAACTACTTTTTCCTCTGAAGTAAAAGTGTTAATTGTTGTTTTCACATAATTACATGCTTTCTTTCAAAAATTCTTTCTGCTCTTTACCTCCCAACAGCCTGCATGGCTTTGTGCTCCCCTTTGAGATGAAACAGAATTAATTAAAGCATAGCATGTTACGCCTGCCAAGTTAGTACTCTGTGTGTGTGTAATGTAAATTGGTATGTTGTTTGTCTATGAATATTCTAAATTCTGCCATTAAGTATAGGAGATTTTATTTCTGCTTGTCTAAAAATATGCTTCACCCAAGGAATGCATAATGTTCATCAGTTGCATCTGAGTTTTCTAATGCTATTTCTCTTTCACAGTGAAGAGGCAGAAGGGTTCTATTCCAACTTTATACTATACTATAAATAGAATGGACTGTTGATAAAGTTCACAGTTTTGTTTTATTTTTTCTTATGTCCTCCAAAAATCAGATCTTTAAACTTGCCAAGATTCTGTTGCTTGCCATGTATCTTAAGAATTTATTGTGAGTTGGAGGGGGGGCAGGAGGGAGTGTTGTTTTACACAAGGTAGAATATGAACTCTCAAGCAACTATGTATCATGCCCCTATCCAGCTATTTGGACCTTCGACTATAAATCTTTATTACATTTCAAATCATTTCATTTCAGCCACAGCGCCCTGTGCTTGCTCATGAAAACATACACAGTGGGGGGGAACCGTAAGTATACTTCTTGTCTACTAAACCAAAACCTAACATTTAAGCAATAGCCGGCACATCATCAAATAATTTGTTAACCTGCCAAGTACAATTATAAAGAGACTTCAGAAATTTACAGATAACCACATGACGTAGGAAAATATCCAAGACAGTCCCAGAGGGTAAAGCCTTGTTTAATTTACATCAGATTCAGACAGACATGCCAACTTAGTTCTTCATCATTTATACTTAAAGGGGATAATAATTTTGTAAAAATAAAGTTTGACTTTTTTTATTCTCTCCATTTTTACATCTCAGCAGAATGCCAGTTAAAGATTTAACATTAATTCAACTCATCTGCTTTACTGACTTGACACAAATTATTCAGAAACAGTTCTGGATGTGAATAGAGAGAAAAAAAACAACTTGATAATGTTGATTATAGGAACACAGGCTCACACTTTTTCATGTAATTTACACGTGCTATTTAAAAATTAGATACAAGAAAGCCTTTCTGAAAGCTGGAGAACCTAGATCTCAAGTCTTATTTTTACAAACAGTGTAAGCACTTGGGATAAAACACATAAAGCTATTTGTGCAAGATTGTAAGATTGTTTTGATCCCCCCCAAGTCTTGCACTCAGGTCCTGCTTCAGTGATCATTGAAACCAGTAGCCATTCTTCCTCTAGCATCAGTGGAGTATGCCCTAACAGATGAATTCTCCTAAGTGTAACTAAGGCTTTGCATCTAAAAATATTTAAAAGTTTACCTGTTAGTCACTTGAAGAAATGGCAAGAGAGGAGAGAGGGGCAAAAAGTTACCAAATAACTATACCACAGATAATATATTATGAAAATTGGACATTTGGGTTTCAATCTCACTAAAACCACGAGCTCCTGTTGGTTTTGTTGAGCATACTGAAGCACCTAACTCTGTTTTGTAAGCAATAATCATCTAATTACTGTTGTTCAATATAGTTTAAATAGTTCATGACTAAATTTACTTATTCCTAAAATTAAAAATAGAAATCTATTTAAATTGCCAACCAACCATTCTTTGTCTTGAATATGTATTCTGTTAGTGTTATAAATGGTAGTGGAGTTTTCATATTTAAGAAATTCTTAGATTAGCAAAGAAAGAATGAAATTACTACAAAGAAGTTATTAAAATGGACTCTCTAGAAATGACTAATGTTAGATTTCTAAAGTACGAAGTATGCTAATTGGGATGTTCTTGTTACTGTATTTGAGTAAAGTAGTTGGCTTGAATCCTATTCGTGACACATTACATCTGCAACTCCTGTAGCTTTGGAAGCTGCATTTAATCAGTTTTGGAATATCATCCTAGCTCTGTTTTCCTGGAATAATGATAAGCATGACAGAAAATGTTATTGCCATGTAATTTTTTGCACAGATTGTTCTTTCTCCTGCTACACAAATTATGAGAGGTAATTGCTTAAATAACCAGTCCCGTTCCATTTTGTTAGTGTGATTAAAATATATTTCAGATTTGGGGAGATAACTGCCAATCATGAGAAATTAAGTTAAAATCTTTTTTTTTCTTGGAACAGTGTCTTTTTTTTTTTTTTTGTTCTCCAAACCAGCAATGTGAAAAATAAGTGTAGCTTATTCAAGGTGACCATCATTACACTAACCCTAGCACCAGTGTGTATAGAGGATTTTCAAAGGGGACTTTCAGAAGCAGGATTTTTTTTACTGAAATAAACATCCCATTTAAGCCATGGAAACTTTGCCTGAATGATACAGAGCTAATGGAAATATTCAGTACCAACACACCAAAGGGGGAGTTTTGTAATGGCATTAAGGTTTTAAAGTCAGTGAATTGTTAAGAGGGAAGGAAGGACGTGATTATGTTTTGTTTCGATATTTTGAAATTAAAACTATTTCCTTTGTACCATTTCTGCAGTTGTACCCTGCATCTTACATGTGGTTGGTCATAGCTGGGGCACAGATGGTTAGAAAAAAAGGCAGATTCTGATTCTGCAGAACTCACGGCCTTTTGCAGCAATCTTCCCATGGGCTGTCAGCCCAAGCACTTTCAGTTACCCCTATTAAGAGTTTATTGCCATTCTTTCAATTCCAAGAAACTCAGTTAAAAGCTGACAAGGAATGAAAGATAATAGATTTAGTAATCTCACACCTCATTCCATTTATCCACCTTACATCCTTCAATCTGCAGCCCCTGGCCAGGGTGGAGGTACAAGTCGGTGTCTGAATACTGTTTTGAGTTTCCATCCTTATGTCCCCTGATTCGATTCAAGCCTCTCCCTCAGTCTCAGAGATATTTATATAATCAGTTTTAACCAGGGAAGGGGTTACAGCTGTATGTTTCCAAACAGCAATTGCTTGCTACCTTCCCCACAGAGGAGGGCACCTCTTTGACATGCAGAGCTCCTATAGTGCCAAGCCCGTCCTCAGCAGTTGCTGCTGCGGTGCCCAGGGAGGTCCCCCCGTCCCAGCGGCAGCGCGCGTGAGCCAGGAGAGCCCTGGGCAACCCGACTGCCGAAGGACGCCTGGCACCTCGCTAATGCTGTGCGGCACTTTGCTCTGCTGGGGCAGAGAATGCGAACACTAGGTTCGGCTTTCCAGAGCTTAAAGGCAGAGCCAGTTTTAGGTACTGATCACAGCAGGTTAAGGGGCTAGTGCATCTGCAGACTCCCCTCTAGAAGTCCTCCGTTTTGGTGACTCAACTATAAAATAATGCTAAAACAAAAATACTAGAATTCTGTGTTCAAAGCAACTGGTTGAGGAGCCAGCAGGCTTGCCTTGAGTCCCCACAGCCTTTAATGTCTGATGAGTTACCTTTCCGATACAGTTTTGTTTATTTACTATAATAAGTACCTAGCCCTGAAGTCCACCAGGCAAAATAAACCCTTTTCCCTTATATTTGCAAGAAGTGTTACTTACTAGTTAATGTTTAAACCAGCTCCTTTACTTCAGCAAAGGTGCAAAGAACTCTTACTTCTTTTTAAAATGCATCATTTGTCCTATTTAAGGTTTCAGGCTCTATATAACTATACTCCTAGGAACGAAGATGAATTGGAGCTCAAAGAGGGAGATGTCATTGATGTGATGGAAAAATGTGATGATGGATGGTTTGTGGGTATGTTTTAATTTGGTTGCTTTTTCATTTTAGTTGGTGGATTTTTTTTCCTGACCTTTGCTGTCTTCTTTGCTTCGTGCCTTTCAAACAAAGTAAATTTTGGTATTCAGTGTAATAAACCTGAACCTGGCTTTATCAGGAGAAATCCCAACCAAAATCCACTGAAATTAGTAGGCAATTTTACACTTTTGTCTTTTGGAATTGATGGACACAAATTGACATGTGTCTCCAGTTTGTTGTACAGCACTGTTGTCATTCTCATGTGACACAAAATGGACAATGTATTAAGGCTCTCTTCATAAAGACCAGGTAATGTAAAACTTAATTGCATGAATACATCTACAGAATTGACTGCTTGTGAGAACCAAGTATTGCTGAACAAACAGAGATTCCGTAACTAGGCTTAATCATTCCATAAACCCTCATGCACACAGTGGCTAACTTAATCACCTAACTAGTCCCCAGCATTTCAAAAATTCAGATTATTTAAAATAGACTTGATGTTGTTGAAATTAAATGATTTCTACGTACCAAGTCAAAACTTTAGCACAGCTTTTAATCAGGCCTAACAATTTAATCAAATATGCATCTTTATTTGCTTTTTCCTTCCTGCAGCTACAATTGGTTAAAACTCACAAATGAAATTCAAAATAACTTCTTGAAGTTATAGTATAAAGAACTGTAGATATTTCTGTTTGTGCAATATTAAACGCAAAAATTTAAAGGCCATGCTTACATAGCGATTTCCTGTTGTTATTCCCATCTTTCATCTATTGCTTCTAATTTCAGGAACCTCGAGAAGAACCAAATTCTTTGGTACTTTCCCTGGAAACTATGTCAAGAGGCTGTGAATTTTTTTTTCTACTTATTTATGCTGCATCTCTGCAACACATCTGCATAAAGCTGCTAGAAAACATGCTACGCTGGCCTTCTGTTTTCTTGCTTGCAGTCTCAGATAGAGGCCATCTAGTTCATCCTCATCCCATCCCACCCGCCAAACCGTTCCAGCAGTATTACAGCAACGACCACGGTGTGAATAACTAAGCTTTTCTGAAACAAGAGGAATCATTTCAACATTTAAATACTCCCTGCTTTAAAGTCTTTTCATTTGAAACACAATAGGAAAAGCCTGATGACAGGTACACAGATGAATTGCCATGGGAGGGTGGGAAACTGTTCTGGGTTTGGACATTTGTGGTACTATCATGAAGTCTGATGGGATTTTTTCAGCATGCATGTACTACAGGGGGAAGTTGCTGTTTACTGTATTTTAAAAAATTTTTTGAGTTTCCACATTCTTATTAGCTTGGCAGCATTTGTTGCTTTCACTTTGCCGTATCACAGGTTTGCCTATTGTACTGGTTTACAATGTATGACAAATTACAATATAAATTTTTTGCCTGCACTTGTATGTTGTAACATATGCACAGTGATTGTAAGATCTCCAGCAAGCGTAGTGAAAAAATGGAAGAACTGCAAGTGTTCTGAACGGGTGCAATGGTATTGGCTAAACCTTTTTTTCTTTTTTCCCCTAATAAAGCTGTAGTGTTTTCTGTTAAAAGGCAAGAAATGCACGAGGCATAAAACCTCGGGAAAGAGGATTTAATGAAGAGACAGACAATGATATAAGCATAGACAATAATAACCTGCTACTGATGTCTGACATTAAATGATTGTAATCAAAATGTTGTAATAGTAAGCAACATGAAATTTGAGAGGTTAGTGTTTTTACGTATCAGGAATCTTAAGAAGCAGGAAGTAAACAGTGTTAGTGCAAAGCGTTGTTGGTTTGGGTTGTTTTTTTTTTTCCTAACATAGCCACCTGAAAAATATTCACAAAAGTATCATGTACTGATTTACTTCACTATATATATATATGTTAACAAAACCTGAGTTACACATTCTTTTTAGGAATTTAGTACAGAAAAGTCACAAGTATTAAAACTGATACATTTTAGAGGTGGGTTTTTCTTTTTTTCCTGAATGAAACAAGTATTTGAAAACATACATTTTCCATAAGCAAAGGTAAGCATAAATAGCAAATGAAATTAAGGCACAAGATGATAATGACTATGGCTTTATAAAAATAAAAATTCAGATTTGGTTTCTTCAGCACCTTATAGATGGCAAAAGCTTCTACTGCATTTCTCATGGGTAAAGGATTGAAATTATCAAAATGTATGTAGTCTCTGTAGCATTTTGTACATATGTTTGCTTTTTTGTACAGAGCCATTTGGTTGTTGATTTTAAAAAAATTAAGTTCCTTATTTGATCTTTGCCCTCTTCACATACAGAACACTTCACTGCATTTTTCTTTTCTTGCTCTATTTACCATAAGCACATCTGGATAGTGCAATTCTGTAAGATAGCATTTTATGCAAAATTTTATTAATTAAAATATGGTTTACCAGCCAAATCTAAATGTACATATGTCTTTATTACTGAGAAATGTCATTAAGACAAAGGTAAAGAAACATCTTTGTGCAGCATACCTTTATTATTGCAGATTTCATGGCAAAAGCTTTATATTCAAAGGCTTTCAATTTTAAACTAGATCTGCATGCAGCTTTGCTGTGAGATTAATACCTATCTTTGATGCCATTTATGATTGAAGACTTAAATATCTGTTGCCTGTGATATTTAAAAAGTACTGTTTCTACTCTGTATCTGATTTTAGAAAAATACAGGTTTTTCATACCTGGCTTTCAGGTAACTGACTTTGAATTCCTACAAGCAAAAGGTCTCTGTGGTTTTTTTTCTGGAATAGACTTCTAATAAATTTTGCTTGGAGTACACAACTGTTTCCCCCATTATTTCTCAAAATATAAATAATGTATTACTTAAGTGTTGCAAAGCACTTACTTAACTCTTCAAGCTTATATGCAAATAGTTTTGCCTTGTACAGAGATTTTTTTTTCTACCACCAAGCATACACTGGTTATATAGGTGGGCAACTAGCATTGCCCACACAGCAATCAGTTGTTCCACTTCAGTGTCATCCCTAAAACACTTGACTGCAAGAGCAATACTATGGACTTCCTGCATTGACTGTGCTAATCTGAGATGATAGATAGATAATTTTTCTGTTACCAGAGCCACCCTTCACTCCAGCAGCACAAAGGTAAAACACTCAATGGTGAACCCTTTATACCTGGCAAAAGTTCCCACACCCTAATCCTTCAACAAAAGCAAAACAAGAACTCCTCTGTAAAGTGAGAGCATAGAAGCAAGATTTAAGGAAAATAGGTTATTCCTATCTCTAGCAGACTTCCTTGTCTTTAAATTGGAGAGACATGGATTTGACAGATGGACCACTCTGTGGATAAGGAATTGGCTGGATGGTCCCACTCAAAGAAAGAGTTGCGGTCAATGGCTCAGAATGGCTCAACGTCCAAGTGGAGACCAGTGACGAGTGGTGTACCTCAGGGATCAGTACTGGGACCGGCGCTGTCTGTCAGCGACATGGACAGTGTGGTCGAGTGCACCCTCAGCAAGCTTGCTGACAACATCAAGCTGTGTGGTGCAGTCGACACGCTGGAGGGAAGGGATGCCATCCAGAGGGACCTTGCCAGGCTTGAGAGGTGGGCCTGTGCCAACCTGATGAAGAAGTTCAACAAGGCCAAGTGCAAGGTCCCACGCATGGGTCAGGGCAATCCCAAGCACAAATACAGGCTGGGTGATGAGTGGATTGAGAGTAGCCCTGAGGAGAAGGACTTGGGGGTATTAGTGGATGAAAAACTGAACATGAGCCAGCAATGTGTGCTTGTAGCCCAGAAAGCCAATCGCATTCTGGGCTGCATCAAAAGAAGCATGGCCAGCAGGTTGAGGGAGGTGATTGTGCCCCTCTACTCTGCTGTCGTGAGACCCCACCTGGAGTACTGTGTTCAGCTCTGGGGCCCCCAATATAAGGAGGACATGGACCTGTTGGAGCAAGTCCAGAGGAGGGCCACGAAGATGATCAGAGGGCTGGAGCACCTCTCCTGTGAGGACAGGCTGAGAGAGTTGGGCTTGTTCAGCCTGGAGAAGAGAAGGCTCTGGGGACACCTTATAGCAACCTTCCAGTACCTAAAGGGGTCCTACAGGAAAGCTAGGGAGGGACTTTTTACAAGGGCATGTAGCAATGGGACAAGCGGTAACAGTTTTAAACTGAAAGAGGGTAGACTTAGATTAGATATTAAGAAAAAAATCCTTTTACTGTGAGGGTGGTGAGGCACTGGAACAGGCTGCCCAGAGAGGTTGTGGATGCCCCATCCCTGGAAGTGTTCAAGGCCAGGCTGGATGGGGCTTTGAGCAACCTGGTCTAGTGGAAGGTGTCCCTGCCCATGGCAGGGATGTTGGAATTAGATGGTCTTTAAGGTCCCTTCCAACCCAAACCATTCTATGAAAACAGATTTTTGGGGAGCATCCTACACCTGGGACTCTGCCTGAAAAACTGAATTACCCCATACTAATGTCTCTGTCTGGCAGGGAACAACTGTTCAAAGAAAAACAACCTGCAACAAGAAGCAAAGCAAACAAGCAACAGCTTGGTGGTTTCTGGTTTGTTTTTTTTCACTGGTTACTGCTGGTACCTCAGACTAGCTCTTTGGTCCTTCTGCTCCAAGCCACACTGGCTGCAATTGCTGGGCTGCCTTCTCCCAAACACTGTATGTGCCGTATTTCTACCAGTGAAGAATGCAGCACAACAACAACCTGCATTTGCACAAGAATCATCGATTTCCTCAAGTCTGATTCATGCTCAGTTTTGTCTTTACAATAGCTGGGCTGGAAAATGCAAAACCACCGACACCTCTAAATAAATAGATGAGTATGTAGCTTAAAATGTTAACTTTGTCTACAGGAAGGTTACGACCAGGGACTGCTGTTAAAATTCCAGCAGGTAAACTCCTTTATCAGCACAAACACTGTTGGTGCTGGGAATGCTTTCAATTTGCACAAGGCCTAATTTAGTCAGTACTATTATCACTGAGGTAAATGTGCCCTTCCTATGCTAAGGTAGCTTAAACCCACCACGTGCATCTCTCCTTACAGCCCTATAACCAAATACTGGAAGATACAATCGAATGTGTGGTTTGTCCTTTCCATTTGCTGGGTAACCCAGTGTGGGATCTGGGACATCACTGAAGCACTGCTTTGTGCCATATACCTGTAAGAACTGCAAGAATTACAAAGTACTGTGCTTTAATAGTCTTTTTTCTATAAAAGCTAGCCTCCTAACACCAACTACTTGATGTAGTCTCACTAATATAAAGAAATTCTGGATGGTTAATGGTGTGAGTGCCTAAGGGGTGAAATGGCATCCTCTTTGCTAACTGCAGAGGGAATGAACGAAGGGACGAGATAGGCCATTGTAGTAAGAATAACAAGTCATTGACACTTCAGGAAAAACTGTAGTGTTAATGTTTTAGTCAAAAAGTAGAGAAGTGTTGATATCCAGGTAAACCAAATATATTCAGATCTGCCAAGTTCGCTGAAATCCTGCCTATGCTATTTAAGCAACAGACTGAAGGAATTTTTTTGAGCTTCCTTGTATACACCCCTATAAATTCATGAAGGAGACCCCGCAGGACTAGGTGGTGCTTTGTCTTTATGGCCAGAGGAAAAGAGACCTGGGGAATTAGAGGCCAGTCAGTTTAATATCTGGGAAGAGACCAGGACAAATCAATTGAAAGCCTCAGATATTCACAGACTCTTCTAGAAAATCATGTATGAAACCAATTTCCCTGCATCTTGATTTCTATTATGATTTTCTTTTAATGCTATGACATGGCAGCTATGTTAGCAGACTAAGAAAAGTCTGTGTCAGTCCACATGAGGTCAAGTTTGTTGCATAGTTGTGCTACATTACAGATAATAGGTAACATAACCAGAGTGTCCGTAAAAAACAGTAGATTCCAGTGCCTACCCTGCAGCAAGACGTGCATTTGCTGTTGAGGCAAAGGCCTCTTAAAACAAGAAAGCCCATAAGACACCAGCAAGCCAAGGAGACCGAGGTATGAGCAGTTCAGAGTAATGTTCTATATCCAAAACTAAGCGAAGGGTCACCCTAGCAGGTTTAATATTGTCACCCGTGCCAAAGCAAAGCATGTTGTCATTCTGCGATGCCTGGTATTTACTAGTTGCTTCTAAATGCTGATGTACAGAACCCCGATGGGAGCACGAGGTGCTTCCTGTGCATTTGAAAAAGCAACGCATGAGCCAATGGGAAGCTAGAAACATGAAGTCAGCAGCTCTAGAAGGACCTTAGGTCATTGCTAAGTATATTCCCTTACAGCATTTATAGTTACATGGCGAAACCCAGCCTTTACTCCTGTTAACAGCAAGCTCCATTGAAGTCAACAGGTCCCACAGTATTGGTAATACAGTTTCTATGTTAGCTTGAAAAGAAAACTGCACAAGAGAGAAGCACTGAAGCAACTGAATGTCCAGTTTGGGTTGATTTTATTATACTGACAAGTATGAGTGCAGGCAGAGACCAGAAACCACTTCTTTAACTGCTCCCACTACACAGCACAGCAGATACTTCCCTTCTCTAGTACCTAACTGGCAAGTTAGCTTAAAGTCAAACTGTATGTGGCTCCAAAGTTGCAAAAGCGTATTGAAAGGGCTAATAATTCAATTTTTAAACATGTTTACACAGCAGAACCCTTTGTTAATCCAACAAATACCAGACCAAGACCTGAATCCACCCACTTCATAGAGCAGGGAACTTGCCAGACCAACATGTAGAAATTGGTACCTCGTCCATACACAGTAATGCAGGGAAGATGAATTTAATAAGACTTTATTCTGCAACTCTACAGGTAACCAACATCATGTTATTTATTTGACTGGATGCAAAAAATGCCATTTTACTTTTATCCTCCCC